ACATATTCGTTGTATCATCCATACTGCAGCCGTTTTTCAAAACGCCTTAAGGTTAAAAATATCATTTTTGATAAAATCTTTTTTACAAAATAAGCTAGTTTATATGTCTACAAACGTTATTAAATACATATTTTCAAAGAGTTCTGAAAAAATTCATTAAAATTATTCGTTTCAAAAAACGTTTAACAAAGAGTTGATTATTAATAATTTTTTTTTAATTGAGTTTTTCTCGAAATACGTAATAAGCATATTAAGGCGTTTTGAAAAACAGCTGCAACATATATTTATTTTAAAAAAATACATGTAGCAAAAAAAGCAAAAGAAAGTTATAAACTTTTTTCTAACTGCGGGCTTTTTTTTTTGCCTCCATAGCAGCACGGCCGTGGCGCAGTGGTTAGAGCGTCTGCTATATAAGCAGGAGATCCAGGTTCGAAACGAGCTCTGGACATATTTTCGCGTCACCGTAAAGGAGGAGGCGTGAACTTCCTGGTTAAATGTACTTCCGCGGTGCTCTGTGACAAGATCGTTAGGTCTTGTTGGGGCATCTAAAAATAATAATAACAAAAAAAAAAAAAAAGTACCTTCTTGAGTAGCAGGACTTTCTTATTTATTTAATATTGTTTTTTCTTTATTAAGTTTCAAACTTTTTTTCCAAACCATCTGCAGCTTTTTAGGACTAATTAGATGAGCACATTAATAACATAAGTGTCTCAATCATCATACATACGCAACAAATTTTTTCTCCCGGTGATGTTTTTTTTTTTTTTGATGTTTTATGAAATTTTAGCTTTCTTAATATCTTTTCTTTTGTAAAAGTGTATAATATCGCTACGTTACATATGTTTGTATATAATAGTTTATAAATGTTTGTATATAATCTTTATAAAACTTTAAAGTTATTTTGTATTTTAAAATAATCGAAAAAAAATTAAAAGCAGCCGCCAATGGTAGGAATTGAACCTTGGATTATTTGTTCAGAATCTTGGCGCCTTACCCACTCGGCCACACTGCCCCATGCTCCAGCGGAAATTTTTATAATAATGTAATGATTTTTTTAAGGGAAAAAAAGTTATAGATCAAAATTAAGGAGAGCTTGGCGCAATGCAATTTTCAAGTGATAATCAAACTGTAAAACTTAATAAATGTTTCTGTATGTTTTAACATTACTTAATTTAAAGATTACGTTCTTTAGATATTTGGATATTTATTATTATTATTTTTTATTTATTTGAGTTTTTATGCTATATTTTTCTATACAATGTTCTTATATCCGAAGATATTGTTGGCTTAGCATAGGAACAGCCACAAATAGTCATTAAGACTAATCCAAAGTAGCGTTCGTTATTGACCAACATTTTTGCGCGCCGAAGTACTACTCAAGCGCTGAGTTGGCGGTGGCGGGATTTGAACTCGTATCGTTCAACGTCCGGGTTTCAACTTTTCCTTTGACGCTCTAACCATCTGAGCTATCCCGCCACTACGTTCTACTACGGATACGCATTCGTTCACGTTTTCTTATAGAACAAAGTGCTACGCTTGCGATGGCTGCCGAGGGTACCGTGTCAAATAGCACTACTAATGTTTGGCAATAATCACGGCTGTTTCAGAGTGAGCTTTACGGCTTCTTATTTTTTTTGGGAAATATTTGCTTTGGGGGTGTTACTAAAACATTTATAACTTTTGAAATATTCGAGATAATTTTGTTTTGTAAAAAGAATAAAAACAAAAATAAAATGTTTTATCATACGATATTTAATACAATAGTAAAAAAACTTCTTTTAGTTTATGAAAAACGCGACAAATGATGAACTTGGCTAAATATTAGTAATTTCTTGTTCTTTTTATCAAAAAAAAAATCAGAAAAATATATTTCTGATAGTTATTATCAATTACACTTATTATTAAAATAATACTTAAAAATACTTAATTGCTTAAGGTTAATAAAAGAGTTACAGTTGAAGTTTGCAAGCAAACCGCATTTTTTGCAAAATTATTAAAAATGTCGTTTAAAGAGGGATTATCTGTTAAATGAGTACGTTTTTAAATATGAAAAAATTCACTAAGTTGATAAATTCAATGCATTACAAAATAAAGCCAGTTGTCGATTTTGAAATATTTAGTCTTAACATTCCAAGCCAAAGCCTTTTCTTTCGATGCATAGAGTTTTAATAATATGGTGTTAAGTTGTTAAAAAATTAAGACTCACTAAGACTAATAAAATAATTCATGACCACAACTGTGTTAAAGTTTTTGAATTAACCTCGCTTTTGGTAATAGAATTATTTTATGGCACTTGAGTCAATCTCTTCTCACAAAAAATAAAACATTTGTTTAAATAAACAAATAGCTAATTTTATTTGTTTGATGTGTTTTTATTCTCATATAAAACTGTTTTATAATAAGTTGATCTACTTATTCTGTCCTTTAAGTAGAAAACGATCTTTGAACACCCAGTTGATATTAGATTCATGCTCCATTCTAAACCAGAAGATTAGTTTTTAGAAGATAGTTTTTGTTCAACAAGATTAGAAGATGGCTTTCAACAGACTCACAACTTTTACAAATTCTTTATTTAAACTGTATCTTTACACTAACTTGTTATTTATGAGACTTAAATTCTATTCTTTAACCAGAGAGAAGGTATGTTGAGGAGAGGTACTGCAGAGGTAGAACTAACTTCTGATGATAATAATTGAAAGGGTATCTAATATTTAAATTAAATGTTACATATAATAAAAGACAATACATTTTTAAAATTAACTACACAAACTAATATTTTATATCATAACAAACTTATATCATAGCCAACAAACTTACCAGTCGCTCTGCTCATAAGTTAAAGTAGTAAACTATATTTTTATACCCATTTGATGCAAGACTTATGTACCATTCTTTAACCTGGATGGTATTGCATAAGTATAATTAACTTGTGAAGACAAGAATGAAATGGGCACCTATCTAATATATAAAATTAATAATAAAAAATAATAAATATTTTAAAAACTTTATTTTTTAATTATTTAGACTAAATTTTATGACCACAAACAAGACAAAGGCCTCGTCTATAAAACGAATTTTTACCACGCTCAGAACACACAACACACTTTCTCACCTTAGAGGCTTGAAGCTTCCTATCAACTTTGCTGTGCAATTCAAAGCGTTTTAAAACAAGACGTAGCTTCTGTTCCTGATTTCTTACTGAATGCAACTGTCTTAATTCCTTATTTACACTATTATGCAAACACTCTCCCTCCTCTTCACTCAGCAACCCAATAGTTTTATGCAATTTTACAAAAAGTGGCACATTAAAAATGAGTTCATGCATTTTTCGCGTGATACTTTCTTTTGGAAAGCAAGCATGAAGCTCGATAGCAAATAAATTTATTGATGAAGCTCAGTAATTTCGGCATCAGAAAGAAATTTTCGCTTAAAAAGAATAGGTTGCAACTTATTAAAAACACTAAACACGCGTATAGATCTATTTTTAATAGCTTCATCATCAATAACACTACAAAGTTTATAGTGGTTTCTTAAGACTATTTTGCAATGATTACCCACAAACACATAACCATGGTACGCGTGTCGCTCAACCTTCATATCTTCAAGGGCCTTATTAAGAGACCTCTCATGAGTCCCCATGCTATATTTGGATATTTTTTCTAGGTCTTCACACTCCATCTGCAATTTAATATATTCAATGTCTAAAACTTCGCGTTGTGCGCGTATAAAAGAAATTTTTTAAGAAATATAAAGGTCAAGACATTCTATATCTTCACCCTGACACGCTAAACACTCGTACATCTCAATGTCACACAATACACTCTTTTCTGAATCACCAATAATTTCACAATATTGATGAAACCATTTTTGTACGTAACACACTGCACCCAATCAACCTTACAATCATATTTAGTAATTAAACACCTGATACTAGCACACATTTCTTGCTGTTTACAGTTTTTTTTTTATTGGAGGAGTTAAGAGATATTTTTTCTAATTTACTACGTCATTGTATTGAATCTATCTATCTATTATATATTATAATATATTATAGATAGATAGATTCAATACGATGACGTAGTAAATTCTTTATTTTACCAAGACAAAAGCCGCCTTGCGTAATGATTCCTTTGTTTTAACGAATTGTTTGTTGCACAAACGGAATAAATACGTAATTTCGGCGAATTTTAATCCGTTAAAATTTTAATCCGTTAACATAATGGAAAACCCGTTGGTGGAATAGCGACAGATGCAGTTCGTTGTATATAACGGATTTTTTCTTAGAGTGCAGATGCGGTGGTTGTACCCGAATCCAAGAAAAAAACAATAATATTAACATGCTTGCCATCACAGATCTATTTTGCAATGGAAGATCTATGCTTGCCTGCATACCCAGAAGATGACTTGGTTACCTACGTAGATATCAAAGAAAACACCATGAAGCTTTTTAAACCGAAGTCATTTGAATAAGCTTTGAATTTGCAGCAATATAAAAGCAAGTAACGAAAATGTGACGAAATTTTCACGACTGGTTACAAGAGCAATTTGGGGCACCTCAACATCAACTTCAAACCTCATAACCTTTTTTATGTTAATTTGCCGCCTAACTTTTAGCATACCTAGTCTTTGAGCTATTAGAATTTGGCACGATTACGTTTATTGACTTAATTTCAAACCTATTAAACATATAGCTTTAACAGAAATATGCAGTATGCGACCACGTATTGAGCTATACTTTGGCTTATAATAAACATCAGAAAACTAAATTGTTCTTGGTTTATGAGTGTGTTTATTTTTTCGAAAGACTCGTTTGAATTAGAAAACAAAAATCAAAACCTCTCTTTTTGTTTATTTAACAAAAAATGCAAAGTAAACTTAGGTTATATATATATATATATATATATATATATATATATATATATATATATATATATATATATATATATATATATATATATATATATATATATATATATATATATATATATATATATATTTGTGTGTGTGTTTATATATACATCTTTAATAAATAACTGTTATATATACAATCTTTAATAAATAACTGTAAGTGGCGCAACTGAACAATGAGTTACATAGCACCTGGAGTGGCTTCAACATTTGATCTTCGCATATCGTCTCTACCTTTTATCCAATAGTTTAACAGCAATGACTCTCTTTTACCATTTATAAACCAGAAAAAAAGAGTGAGAAGTATTACAAAACCATTGAATCCGAGAAAACTGTAGAACACTATGTTGGGAATCGAAAATTTATCTGGCCCGCCATAAATTGGAGGAAGCGGTGGAGTAATGTTGTAAAAACCTTAAAATTATAATTTAATTATATTTTTATTAAATTATTATATTTAATTTTATTAAATACTATTTTAATCATATAATATTTTTATGTTTATTAAAAACTATTTTATTATATTTTTAAAATGATATGCTTTTTAAATATATTTTTACGTTTAAATCCATCTTTTTCTACAGTTTCCCCAAGTAATTTAATAAAGTTTTCAAGTTTGATAACATAAAATTTTAACTAAGAAATAGGTATGTATATGAGAAAGACAACATTCATATAAGAAATTATAAAACAGTTCTAATATTGTTTACATGACGTAATTTATTACAAGCCTACTCACTTTGCAAATGACGTCAAAAGTTGCGAACATTTAGCATTTTTAGAATTATAAATTATAAATTTAATAAATAAAAAATTTCTAAGATTTGAAATACGTATAGTTATTAAATCACATTAAACAATACAAAAGAAAACTAAATAATATATTTCTTTATTAAAAAACATTATACTATGAATCGAAAGTAATTTACTTAAAGTTTTATTTGGTTTTAAATTTCGACTTCATTTAAAAAAAGGTTTATTATCCGTACAATATTTTATAAATAAAAATCAACAATATTTTTTTTAAAATTGTTAACAAATAAAAAATTTTAAATTAAATGTTATTATCGAGTTTTTTCTGATTTTAGAAATTGTCTCTCATTAGTTTAAATATAGCTTATCATTAAGAGAATTTGAACTAATTAGAGATGATAGACTACTGATGAGACTACTAGACTTCATCTTCAAAGATAAACATATGTTTCGGAATTCTAAATCAGCTGAAAGTTTTGAAAACTCTTCATTGTCTTTTATCTTATCAATAAAGTTTTTTAAGTTTACAGTCAAAGATCCAGCGATTTGTGTATGTCTAACCTTTTTTCTGTAAAAATGTATTATACATTCTTTGATGTTTTCCCAAAAAGGTTGTTCCATTAATAGCATTCAATCAAAAACTTTAAATTCGTTAAAAAAACTATCAATGAATTTCAATGCAATAAAGGAATAAAATAATCGCTCAGTCCTATTAAAAACGCTTCTAAATATCCGTATCGTATAAAATACAACATTTAAAAAAATCGTATAAAATACAACATTAAAAAAAATTGTAAGATGTTGAGAAACAAAAACATCCATGGAATCCATGTCCCAAATGGATTCCATGTGGGTTCCGTATGGGATTTATGGGATCCCACATGAAACCCATGTGGGACAAGCATTTTTTTTTTTACTGGGAAGGAGCTTGTTCATGAAAAAAAAGATAACATCTCAAAACAAGGATAGACATCAAGGAAAAAACTACAAAAATTTGTATGCTCTTACAAATTGCAAGAGCATACAAGTTATTGTAGTTTTTTCCTTGAGCAAAGTAGCAAGCTTGACAAATTTATTCGTTATATTAGTATTATTATTAAAAAAGTAAATTATTATCAGAAACATTTTTATTTCACAATTGTAAGATTATATTAGAAATTCTAATATAGAATTGTAAAATGAATATCTCTGTTATGAATTCGTAGCTAACATGTTGTCAAATATAGGCTTTTCATACGAGTCCAAAATACCAATTTGAGAATAAAAAAAACATTAATTTTTAAAATTTTAGTTGATTAATAATTTTGATGTTGTTTTTATATATTGCACTACAGTAAAAAGAATGTTTTAACTTTACCCTTTTCAACACTTTTTCACATAGGTTTTTGCCAACACACATACACCACCGTATAAACATTCACAAATTTGTAAATGTAAACATGTCAAATAAGTTTCAGAAGTATGCATGGGAGAGTGGGGAGAAATGGGACGCGGAAGAAGTGGAAATCCCAATAATGTTTTAGATTTGGCGCCTAATTAATGTTATTTAATGTTCATTCACACTTTCCCCACTATACCCCAATAGCAGGGTTCCTCTAAAACCACAAATACATCTTAGGGAGTAAACTAAGTCTTAACAAATACTGCTTTATTTGTTAAGACTTGTTTGTTTATACGTTAGGTAAAAATATTATGGAATTACCCTGAAAAAATTTTTCCTTGTCCTACTCTCGTCAACATTTGTATGTTAATTTGTCGTAGCTAATTAATTTTTGGCTAAATGCCAACTATCTACAAAGCTAATAGCTATACTTTACTTTAGATCTAAACCTTAGTCACCTAATACTCACATATATTAGCTGATACCATATAACAAATAATGGCTACCACGTCATACATTAAATATTGATTTGCAACTCCATCAAAATGTATAATTATTTTTTCGACAAAAATTTGTTTTTATTGCATAACAATATCATTTTAATATTTGAAAACATGAATTTAAAACTTAAAAAAATTTCAAACTAGTTTAAAGTAAATAAACTTTTAGCAATTATTTACAAAACTAATTAGACTTTATTTCACTCACTTTCCAAAAAAATTAATACCATATAAAACGCTTTTTATACTCATTGATAATATTCAAGTAAAAAGAGTAAAAACTACACACTTTTTAGGAATATATATTGATGAAATTCTTACATGGAGACAGCACACCGAAAATTTGAGCAACAAAATTTCAAAAAGTAGTGAAATATTATACAAATTAAAAAGCTATTTAAATATGCGTATCTTAATTGTCATAGGAAACATATAGCACGCTCAGTTAATTCAAGTGATTGACGAACTCATTCGAAGCCTCCCTTAAGAAAAATGAGTGTGTTAAACATATATCAACTTAACGTATATAATATTCTTTGTTTTATGTACAAATAAAAAACGAAATTATCTTCATATTTTTTTTATAAAAAAACAAAAAAATAAATACTCGTGTACCGTATTATTGAAACCAAACTGTTTTAAACAACTTTGATTTTTCTTTCAAATGAAATTACGTATTTAAAAAAAAATGTTTTTTTTAAAATATGTAATTCCATTCGAATTTTATATTGGTTTATATGATTTGTAATGTTGGATGAATTTTAAAGATCGGTTTGTATGATTTGTAATTTAATTATTTACGATCTGCAAGCCTTTATTGCTATTATATTATCTGTCTATATTATCTTAAACAGATTCTATCTGTTGACCAGCCTCGCATCCCTTTTTCATCTATTAGGCTGGCGCAGATGTATTTTTAATACATTGTTTTCAGTTTAAGATGTTGAATGCTGGATCTTCTTGACTCAATGCATTGGTTTTGCTTAAGCAACTCATTCTTAATTTCTCCTAATGAGGGTGCAGCTCTAAAACTCAGTTTTATGGTTCTGAGGCCGGCTGGTAGTCAGGTTTCCCGAACTCTGTGGTAACTGTCAGAGAGGCTGATTCCATCAAAAGCTGAAAAATATCAGAGTACTAACAGTGCCATGTTGCGCATGGATGGTGTCCCTGTTTGTACTTTTGATGTGCATTGCCAAGGCCACATTGGAGCCCTTTATTACGGCTTAGGGTTTATTAGTGGAAATGAGGCAATTGCATGAGCTATAAAACCGTGTACTGAGTACTATCTATGTTTCGAGTCAAGTTCTTTAACAAATTTAAAAATGAATAAAGTAACAAAAACTATAAAACACAAAAAACCACAGTCATCACCAAGTTCGCTAAACCTATCATTCACCAATATTTGTGGTCTTCGAAGTAAATTTTCTTCTGTTGAGTCTTATCTCTTGCAAAGTTCACCAGACCTACTTGCTCTTTGTGAGACTAATTTGAGTTTAACTGTCTCATCTTGTGATCTTAGTGTTGATGGTTATCTTCTTTTAATTTATAAAGACTTCAATAGTCACATGCTTGGCCTGGGCATTTACATTCGTAAGAATTCACCCCTTTGTTGGTAAACTAGATTTGAATCCACAGACTACTCTTTTGTGTGCTTCCGTTTAGCACCACTTCACTCTATCACCTTTTTCTTTGTTCTATATTGCTCTCCTTAATATCAAAACTGCACTTTTCTTAATGTTATTTCTGATCATATTGATCAAGCCCTCTTTCTTTATCCATCAGCCAATATTATTGTTGTCGGTGACTTTAATGTTCATCACACTGAATGGCTTGGCTCTAGTGTTAGTGACTTTGCAGGCATTAAAGCCCACAACTTTTGCCTTTCTCAATGCCTAACTCAAATAGTCAACTTTTCAACTCGCTTTCCAGTAACCCGAATCATTTACCTTCTCTACTCGACTTATGTCTTGTTTCTGATCCTAGTCAGTGCTCAGTTTCTCCACATTCACCCATAGGTGCTTCTGATCACAGTTTGATCTCTATAAAACTATTATCTTATTCTTCTTTTTCATCAGAATCTCTTTATCATTGTACCATTTACAACTACCTTAAAGCTGGCTGGGACTCTTTCCGTGATTTTCTTCGTGATGGCCCTTGGGTGAAATCTTTCGTCTTCCTGTGCTTCTTTCATAACTTCGTGGATTCAGGCTGGCATGGAATCCTTTATTCCCTCTCGACAATTCCAGGTCAAGCCTCACTCTTCTGCATGGTTTTCCTCGCATTGTGCTGCTGCAATTGCCAATTGAAACCATTACTTCCATATTTATCAGCAAAAAAATTCTCCAGAAAACAGACGTCTATTTATTACTGCTTGGAACCGTTGTAAAAAGGTTTATCTAATGCCGAAGTCTGCTATTCTCAGGTCATGAAATTTCATGACCTGAGAATAGCAGACTTCGGCGTTAGATAAAACCTTTTTACAACGGTTCCAAGCAGTAATAAATTGTTTTTTATTACAAAAATTAGGCTCTTGTGACTTCTGGAGAATTTTTAATATAATCAATAATAAGGGCAATTCCACCTCTTTCGTGTGGCTCAAACTTTGTCATTTCACCATAAGACAAAGCTGAATTATTTGCTAAGAACTTTTCATCAAAATCATCTCTTGATTCCACTAGTTGCGTTCTACCTGATATAGCAGTCAAACAGGTTGAAACATTGCTTGACATTTGTATCACTCCAGCTTCTGTAACTAAAGTGATTTCGTGCTTAGACTCTTC